ATGCACAGCTGCACCTCTTTAGGACCCCAGGTGTTTCTCAGCCCAATAACTTAACCACCATAGAGTGTTGCGGATGGCTAATTAACAAATAAAAAGCCATAAGAAATTGAAAGCAAAAAGTAAACAAAGGGTGAGAGGATACGATGAACTAATTTCTAGCCATCGTGCTTAAAGCAGCAAAGCTGTTGGAAATCACACTTTCCCCGGCGTGTGGGTAGATGGCTTGATGTACAAATGGAGGGATAGATGAGTAGATGGGTGGGTGGGCGGGTGCATGAGTGGTTGGGCAGAGGGGTGGATGAGTTGGTGAGTAGGGGGTTGGATAGGTGAGTGGATGAATGGTTGGTGTGTAATTGAGTGGGGTGGACAGAGGGATGGATGAGTTGGTGAGTGGGTGGATGCAGATGAGAGAATGAATGGTTGGATGAATGTGTAGTTGAGTGGGTGGATAGAAAGTGGGCGGGTGGGTGGATGGATGAGAGGATGAGTGGGTGGATGGATGGAATTCAGGTATGCAAGCAATCACCAAATATTAACTATATCCACAAAGACGCTCCGCCTCCTTACAGCTTCCCTCCCTTCACACCCATGAGACTATGATCATGTGTGAAAGACCATAGTAGGCCAGAGTGACCTGCGGATCCCAGGCACTGCATGGGACCCCGGCTCTGGGAAAGTATGCAGTGGTCCCTCTGACTTGTTGAATTGATTGAGTCAACTGATGGATTATGGGAAAGAAATAACAGTCGGTGCTGGGTCCTCCATTATGACTGACAAAGCACAACTTACTTCTGGGTGAAGGGTGATTGAGTTTGTATAGAAAAGAAAACAGAAATCAAAAAATATATATTCTCTTTTTCATTTTATTGTTTCAATGTTGGGTTTATTGCACGATAATTTACATACAAAACAGCCACCTTTTAAAGCCTGGAGCTCTGTGAGCTTTGTAAGAGAATGCAGTTGTGAGACCAACACAACCAACAAGGCAAACTCCACCTCCCCGAAAGTTCCCTTTACATTCACCAGAAAAAGAAGAGACAACTTAGAGGATGGGAGAAACTACTTACAACGCATATCCCAGCAACCCAAGAACCAACAGTTTATAAGGAGCTCTCCCAATAGCCTAGTAAAAAGACAACCAGTTTCTTAAGTAGGCAAAGGCTGCAAGAGGAGAATTCTCTAAAGAAAAATTTGCAAATAGCTCAGCATCTTGGACTATTAGGGTGGGTCAATCAAACCTTGCTGAGATCCAGCATCTCACACCTGGATGGCTGCTATTAACCACCTCAGTGGGGATTAGGACGTGGAGGAATCACAACAGCCACGTGGTGCTGGGAATTTGATGCTACCATTTTGGAAGGTTAATTTACAAGTTAAAGGTATAATTTCCATATGACCCAGCAACTCTACAACCCATAAAACTGAGAACTGAAAGCTTATGTCCACACAACTCTCACACATTAATATTCACAGCGACATTATTCAAAATTCCCATAATAGAAAACAGTGTTTATTAACTGGTGAAAAGATAAACAAAATATGATGCAGCCACAAAACGGAGTACTGTTTGGCAGTTCAAAGCAGAAAAGCTGACTCATGCTACAAGGCTATGCCCTGGGTGAACCAGGCACAGAAGAGCAAAACTGTATGTTCCACAGAGACAGAAGGGGACTTGGTGACTGTCAGGGCCTACAAGAGGGAAAGGAGAGAATGGTCCATGGAGAATCTCTTCCCAGCGTGAACGAGAGAGTACTCACGTTTACAGACTAAATAACAAGAACCATTGAACTACGGTCTTTCCAGGGCTGACTTTACCCCCCATTACGGACATCTCAGTTAAGCATGGCAGGAGTGAAGGAGCATAAGACAGGAATGATATTTCAAGTCGGTAAAGAAACATGATCAGACATAGGCCAGGAGGTCTACAAAAGTCAAATAGTCGCCTGTCAATCAGAGAGTTAGCAGATATTCTCCGAAGCTGCAATTCTTCTGTGTAGGTGTAGATATGTGATCTGAAGCTCAAGAACCTTCCACAAGAATGAAAAGTAGGAGGTCTCGGCTGTGCTTCCAGGAGGGGGAGGAGGCAGGGCTTCTGCCCAAAACCCTTTATAGTTTGGTTTTGTTTTTTGGTTTGGGTGGGGTTTTTGTTTGTTTATTTGTTTGTTTTTGGTTGGTTGGTTTTTTGTTTTAAATTTGTCTGTTTGTTTTGGTCTTTGACTGTTTGCTTTTGTTTTGTTTGAGGTAGGATCCCATTTTGTAGCCAAGGTTGGCCTTGTTTTCCCTACGTCACAGGGTGGCTTTAAACTCCCATCAACACACGGGCTGTAGCATCCCAAGTGTTGAGATTCCCGGTTTGAGCAGCCACATCAGTCTTGTCCAAAGGATTTTTATATTACCATTTGGGGTATCACAAGAATATTTTAAAGCAAATATTTTAATTACAACACAATGAAATAAAATTATTATAACAAGACTGTTGAATTCTAAGAGATAATGATTTCTGAAAAGGAAAAGCTATCCTGCATGAGAAAATTGGTTTAAATAAGGAGGAGGAAGAAGCTGGGAGGCAAACAGCTGTAATCCCAGCACTTGAGAGCTGCAGGCCAAAGGATCACAAGTTTCACAAATTTGAGGGCAGCCCAAGCTACAGAGTGAGCCCCATTCTCAAAATAACTAATAAAAGTAGAAAAGAAGAAATTATTGTGTAAATATTTGTGACATATCTAGAAAACACAGTTATTATTAACCAGACCATTGGCATTCACAGGGACATGTCTTGCCTAGCAGGAAACATGACGCCATGGTCGGCTGTATGCTTCTGGCTCTGATGTTCCATTGCTTCTTCACTTTAACCTTCCCAGGCTTCTGAGGGGCAAGCATGAAATAAAGCAATGGCAAATGACTGGCTCCTTGTAAGACCAGAGAGAATGATGTGAGGATTCTACAGAGACAGAAAGGATTCAACAAACTCCAATCCCTGAGCAAAGTCAAGCCTCAGTGTCCTAATGTCACCTGTGTCACTGCGTTAACACCCTGCGTAAAGAAAATGTAGGGGACGAGGAGGGCATTTTATCTCACAGCCCCGAATTACAGTCTATCATAGTCGGGAGGTTGAGGCCACAGGAGCTTGAAGCAATTAAGTCCTTATAGCCACAATCAAGAGGATGTAGCAAATGAGAGTGTGTGTGCTTACCAATCAGCTCACTTTCTTCACTCCTATACAACCAGGACCCAAACCTAGGGGATGGCGCTGCCCACAATGGGCGGACTCGGCCCACATCTACCAACATAATCAAACCATCCACCTACAGATGCGTCCACAGGCCAACCTCATCCAAACAATACCTCACTGAGAAGCCTTCCCCTGCGATTCTACATGTGTCAAATTGGCAATTAAAAGCCATCATCGTGGCTGGAGAGCTGGCTCAGTAGCTAGGAGCCCTGGGTGTTCATATGAAGACCAGAGTTCTGCTCCTTGAACCCATGTCAGGTGACTCATCACCACTTGTTAACTCCAGCTTTAAGAGGATCTAACACTCACGTGCATGTGACCACACTGACTTGCACACTGCACTCCTGTGCACATACCCATACTGACTTGCACACTACACTCCCGTGCACATAACCACACTGACTTGTACACTGCACTCATGTGCCTGTACCCACACTGATACACACTGCACTCATGTGCCTGTACCCACACTGACTTGCACACTGCATTCTTGTGCATGTGACCACTCTGACTTGCACACTGCACTCCCGTGCACATACCCACACTGACTTTCACACTGCACCCATGTGCATGTGACCATACTGATTTTCACACTCCACTCCCGTGCATGTGACCACTCTGACTTGCACACTGCACTCCCGCACACGTACCCACACTGACTTGTGAACATACACATACTTTTAAGATAGTCTTTAAACTATCACTTTGGCTTGTGCACCTGTCTCATGGTTGCTCCTCATGGTTGTCGCAAGATTGTTTTATTTTATTTATTGTTTTATTTCTTTTATTCAAATAAAACAAATGCTGAGGAAGGGGTCTTAGTTAGGGTTCTACTGCTCGATGAAACGCTATGACCAAAAAGCAAGTTGGGGAGGAAAGGGTTTATTTGGCTTATACTTCCACATTGCTGCTCATCACTGAAGGAAGTCAGGCCAGGAACTCAAACAGGGCAGGATCCTGGAGGTAGAAGTTGATGCAGAGGCCATGGAGGGGAGCTGCTTACTGGCTTGCTTCCTCTGACTTGCTCAGCCTACTTTCTTATAGACCCCGGGACCAACATCCTAGGGGTGGCACCACCCACCATGGTCTGGGCCCTCCCGCATTGATCACTAATTAAGAAAATGCCTTACAGCTGGGTCTCATGGAGGCATCTCCTCAACTGAGGCTCCTTCTCTCTGATGGCTCCAGCTTGTGTCAAGTTCACGCACACCACCAGCCAGTACAAAAGGCGACACACTTGAACAAAGAACAGGTGAAAAGACACCCCAAGGGAAAGAAACACAGGCCACAGGACTGAGTTCTAAGTGAACAGGGGGGACTCCTGACATGTTTCTATACGGTTCTTAAATTTTTATCACAGCTGCTGTATTAGTTAACTTATTTATTTTGAAGGCATTTCATTATGTGACACTGCTGGCCCAGAACTCACAGAGATCCACCTGTTTCTATTTATTTATTTGTCTTTTGTGTGCTCATATTGGGGGGTTGGGGGAGGAGGGATTCCTATGCCAGGGCACAAGTGTGGTCAGAGGACAACTTGAGAGAATTGGTCCTTTCCTTCCGCCATGTGCACCCAGGGATTAAACCCAGGTTGTCAGGCTTTAGCGGCAAACACAGCTACCACTGAGTCACCTCACAGCCCCAGCCTGCCTTTCAAAAGTGTTACAAGCTGGGGGACTTCAGCTCCAGGTTCTTTTCGAGTAATACCTATGAGGACTCTGTGCCCTTCTCCCCAGAGAGTGATGAGTAACCAGACCAAGCAAGAGAATTGTTTTTATGATGATTCTTTACCAGCAACTTCAATATCCAATACATCAATGGGGGTTACAATCTCAATAGGCATGGGGGATTGATAATGGGCAACACACAGACACTTCAATATCACAATTATCAATCCTACTAAACCTAATACATAAAACCAATTCATAACCTTAATCTAACTTATCACTTATTCACAAAACACTTCTTAACCCTAATACAACTTATCCATTACTTATCTATAAAACACTCCTTAACCTTAGCTTATCCATTAATATTTCCTAATTTTATCAATTATCCATAAAATATCTCTTAACATTTCACACACTAAACTTATGTATTAACACGTCTATGCTTTTCTCTTAACCTCTCATACACACATGAAATAGCATCATACGACCAGATATTCCCTGGCTTAAAAAGGGCTTTTTGAATTTCTTCAGGCTGGGCTCTTGTCCGCACTGGGGGCTGGGTAGCGAAGATCGACTCTTGACCCCGTAGTCTGCACTCGGGAGATAAGGTCCTGATGTTCCAGGCTGGTATCTGGTAGTGCCTTGGACTCGGCTTTCGGGTGACTGAGTCTCGGGAGACAAGGCTTTTAGTTCTCTACTCTCGAAGATGAGGCTTTGCTCTCGGGATGGCAAAGCGTTCTGTCTGCTCAGAAGACGAAGCTTTGCTTACGGGATGGCAAAGCATTCTGAAAGGCAGAGTATCTAGTCTGTTCTCGGGAGACAGACCTTCAATGTCCACTCTCAGGGAATGAGGATTTGCATTCGGGATGCAAGGTGTTAAATGTCTGTTTTCGGGAGATGAAGCTCTGTACTCGGGAGACAGAGTATTAAATGTTTAGGCAAGGCATTCAATATTGCTGCTTTTAGGGAGGCAAGCTAGGAGGATCTCTCTTTCCACAGAGGCCTGGTGCCAGAGCCATTGTGAGAAGTGAGATAACCGCCCTGCTTCAGCCACCTCTTTTAAGTCAGTTCAAAATTGCCCCTCGTTTGATCCTTCCGATAACCAGATGCCCTAGGTTATCAGTATCGACTGGCCACAGAAGGGTGGGGGGTCCCTCTTGTGTGGCAAGATTATTTCATTACCACGGTTGCTGGGTGCAGCCCCCACATCTGGCAGGGCCAGATGGGTGTGGCAGCCTTCATGTGGGCAAATGTTCGCTTAATATTTTACCTTAGTAATTTTCCATACCACACACAAGAAGAAATGCTTTTACATTACACCAAGTTACATTCATTCTTATTCCATAAATTTCCTGCTCTATCTACACTACAGATTCCCCTTTATTTATTCATTCAGAGGAATCTGCTTCCATGCTCATTACAAAAAGCTTGAAGATCAAAAGCTTTCCTGCGGGAGAATTTCACCATGGTACTCAGACTGGCCTCACACTCACGATCCTCCTGCCTCAGCCCCCTGATGGCTAGAACTGCAGATTTGAATCTTTGCAACCGGTTACTATTTGAGTTCTGATACTTCAAAGATATAGACGACCCACTGACTGTTTAAATTTTTAAATAAACATGTAATTTACCCACCAAAGGTCTTGGAAACGTATGATGGTTTCTAGAACCTCGGCAGAACCGTTCAGATCTCTTAAGTCTTTTCTTGCCATGGGATAACATCTTAGTTAGAGCATAGGAAAGACAATGTGGTCACAACACTTCCCGAAAGGGAATCTCAACTTTTGAATTGCTGCTTCAGAGATGAACATTCAATGAATCAAAACAAAGTTCGTCAGAAATGACAAGAACAGGAAGGTTTGTCAGGCCCTTCCGCTTAATGGCTCATGTCAGCCCTTGCTTCCTACAGGACCAACCTTCTTGTCTGTCCCAGGAAGGAAGGAAGAAAAGATTGCTGCCTCCAGAAACATTTTAATTTGTCTAGCTACAATAATTAGATCAATATTCATGGGCGTATGTAGCTAATCACAATGGCATGCACTTAAATTGGGTTAAGAAGATATCTTTGAAATGTCATTTGTGAATTTCATTTGTAATTTGTAGTATTCCCCTGGGTTGACAGTAATGAGATTTGGGGTCAGGCAGTTATTACCGCTTCTCCTCCCCTTCAGTGCTCTTTTGGAGCTGTGGTCCATGACACGTGGCTCTGCACCTTGGCTTCATGAGAAAGCTCCAGGAAAGCTGGAAAGACGAACGATGCCTGGCCCGCCTGCCCGAGGTGAGGTGAAGTATGAATCTAATTAGTCTTAATCAATGAAAACCAAGAGTCAGATATTTGGGTGAAAGCTGAAAGACCAGAGAAGCCAAGCAGCAACCACCAGCCTTCTTACCTCTATGAAATCTCAGCCCGAATGGGGGTGGGAGGGCTCTAGTCTCTACAAATCCTCAGACTGAATGGGCCTAGATCCTGTCTCCACCCACTTTATATTCCTATCTCTACCTCCCTAGTGCTGGGATTAAGGGCATGAGATCCCAAGTACAGGGATATAAGATGTGAGCCACCATCACTGACTCTGTGTCTCTTTTAGACTGGTTCAATCTCCAGTAGCCCAGGGTGACCTTGAACTCCTGATCTTTCTGCTTCCTCCCAAAATGCTGGAATTAAAGGTGTGTACCACCACTGCCTGGACTAGCTCTGCTCTCTGATCTCCAGGCAAGAACACAAACAAAATATCATACAACAGTGGGGCCCATAAGCAAAGACGTTCTGCTTGTTCTTATCCTTAGCATTTTTCTTCTTAGGTTGTGATATGAAGTATGACTAAGGAAATGCCACACACTGTTCAAGATCACCCACATGTATACATTTTAAGATTGAAAATGAAGGAGTAACAAATGCATTTATTAAACTTAAACTGCAGGCTGGTGGCATAGCTCAGAGGTAGAGCACCTTCAGGTCACGTCGGTGGCCATGTCCTCTGGTCTTTGAGAGAATGTCCTACGGTTCAGATTCTCACACTGTGGGTCACATGCCCATAAGGAGTCATAACTGAATGTAGGAGGTCAAGAAAAACAGGGCAGTAGTAAAAGGTTCCTGTTTTCACAATAACCAAAGCTAGCTAAAAATCAGAGGAGAAATGAGTCCACATTGTTCCTATGAGGGCTCATCCATGCTACATCCAGTGACTTTACCGTGGCCTCTGAGCATAGCATGATCCCTTCGCACTGTGCACACGCTCACAAAAAGCAACACCAAAGAACCCTGGCTGGAATCCTTCCCCTCAGATTCGAGACCTTTTTATTATGAATCACAGTGGCTCTTAGCATCACATAGAGCTTTCTGCTCTTACAAAATCATGGTTTTTAATTACAGAGAAAAACTTTTAATATTTTTCTACCAGCATATCTTGGACAACATCAAATCATTATTTTTGAATTGCATTGGGTTGGAATGTCTGATTTTTAAAATTGTTATTTGAAAGCTCAGGGGAGAGCTCAGTTGGAAAAACTGGCATGAGGAGCTGCGTTCAGCTCCCAGAAAATATTAAAAAAAAAATCAGGCATGATGGTGTGTGCTATAATCCCGTGCCAGGGAAGCAGGGACAGACAGATTCCTGCGGTTCTCTCTCCAGTCAACCTAACCTACTTGGTAACTTCCCAGCAAGGAAGAGACCCTGTCCCAAAACAAACAAATGAATAAACAAGCAACAAACAAGAAGCAGGCCAAGGCGGAGAATGACAGAAGCAACTGGCATTGAAGGCTGGGTGGTGCCAGTCCAGGCACGTAAGTGTTGTGGTTTCTTTCCACCGTCCGTAGTGAATAAGGACTTTTAAAAATTATAACACATTAGTTAAAATGAATAGGCTAATAAACGACAGGCTCCATAGAGCTAGCATCAATTTCCTTGCCGATCTACACTATAAATAAAAGCTGCAGAGACCTCAGTGAGAGGAAGCACTTCAGCAATCAAGAGCATAAGCACTTGGCTGTGGCCTTGTAAAAAGTACCATGACCCAGGCTGTTGTCATGGTTTCTCAGAAAGCAACGGTCAGGAGAAGAGATGGAGAGATGGTGTTCAAGCATCTGATTATGGTATCCAGAAACAATGAGCTTCGCAGACAGCTTAAATAGAAGATAATGAGAAAATGCTTTCCAAATCTTGAATAGCATCAAAATGTATTGTACAAAATTCTCTAACAACTAAGAATTTAAACAATTTTTAAAAGATTAGGAGATAGAAATTAGCTTCAACAGTATCAAAGAGCCGACGGGTACAGTGCATACAGCTGTCCGTATGTCAGCATAATTCACAATAGCACTTGCTGTTTCTCACCTCCATAAACTGTCAGTTAAACGAGACAGCCCAAGTTGACTTAACAAGCCATAACTTTTCAGGGCACATTCTGTCTCAAGTCTCTGTGTCATACAAAGATCCCCCGAAGCACTGTGCTTGGGAAGGAAGCAGAACGGTAGCTACTGTGGTTTGAATCCAGAATGTCACCCAGGCTTATGCTTTGAATCCTTGGTCTCAGCTTGTGGCACTATTTTAAAGGATATGAAACTTCAGGGAACTGATGCATGGCTGGAAAAAGCAGGCCATTAGATGAGGACACTTGCCTCTGGCTCCAATCCCTGGTCCATGCCATGCGAACAAGTCACAGCTGCAGGCTCCCACTGCTAAGCAACAAGAAGTAACACAATGCTTGAGGAAGAACCCACCGTGGATGCATTGACCATCCCTTCTTAAAGGAACCATACAAAGCAAACACTCTACCAGGTAAGTAACCTTCCTGGTTAACTCAGCTTCTTTCTAGGCAGTAAAGAGGACCTAACACTATAACTGGGACCCTCTGGTCTGCCAGCCTTCTTAACAGCTGCCACAGCTTCCTGTGACTCTTCTGCAACATTCTGTATACATTGTATTCTCCAAGTGCCCGCCAGACCACTCCCGATGACTGCCTACTAACTCCATCCTTCAAACACTCATTCATTGCACCTAGAAGACATCTTTCTTATCTCAGCACATGGTAGTCCAGTGCTGTGGGACAATGGTCTTGTACCCTGTAAAGATTTTTGTTACTTATATTTTAATAAAATGCTGACTGGCCAGTAGCTAGGCAGGAAGTCTAGGTGGGGGGCAACCAGGCAGGAAGCAGAGGCAGGGTGACAAGAACAGGAGAATTCTGGGAAGAGGAGATGGTCAGTCTGCAGTCGTCTCCCAGACACAGAGGAAGCAAGGTGAGAATGCCTAGCTGATAAAAGGTACCAAGCCACGTGGCTAACACAGAAAAAAAATTATGAGTTGATGGTAGATGTAAAAAACGAGTTAATAAGAAGCCTGAACTACTAGACCAACCAGTTTATAATTAATGTAGACCTCTGTGTTGTTTTTTTTTTTTGGACTGAACGGCTGCGGGGCCGGGTAAGACAGAAATCTCTGTCAACCACCCAGGAATACATAATATTCTCTCCCCTTTTCCTCTCCCCCCCCCCCCCCCCGCAAGCTTCTGCCCATCCTCTGTTTCAGATTTTGTCTGATCCCACCAGAGGAGTCCATCTTACATCCAAAGACTCAGAACAACCTCATCCAGATTGCCACAGGTTGACATCTGCTGGCTCTCACATTTTGACTCAAAGACATTCTCACCTTCCCCGGGGCTGTTATTTCCACAGTATATTAACACTAACCTGTCTGCTTACTCTCCCCCTTAGCACCCCACTATCAATGGTCTCAATTCTCCAATAAAAAGACACAGACCAACAGAATAGCTGCAAAAACAGGGGTCCATTCTTCTGCTGCATCCAAAAACCACACTTTAACATCAAAGATAGATATCACCTAAGAGGAGAAGGATGGAAAAGGACATTCCAAGAAAATGAACACAACAGAAAAGCTGGTATAACTGTTTTAATATCTGACAAAATAGAATTCAAATCAAAATTAATCGGAAGAGATAGGGAAGGACATCACATATTTATCAAAGGAAAATCCACCAAGACAACATTGCAATTCTTAACATCTATGTGCCAAACACAATGAGGGTTCAGAAGCCCACACCAGGCCCACTGGCCCTCTTTCTACCTACTGCCTGCCGATCATGATGCCGAACTCTCAGCTCCCGCTCCAATACCATGTCCGCCTGCATGCCACCATGCTTCCTGTCTTGACAATAATGGACTAAATCTCTATAAACTGTAAGCCAGTCCCCATTAAATGCATTCCTTTATAAGAGCTGTCATGGCCATGACATCTGTTCAAAGCAATAGAAACCCTAACTATTACACATGGTTAATCCCAGCACTGGAGAGATAGAGAGAGGAGGATCTCTGGAGATGATTGGTCAGAAAACCCCGCCTACTCGGTGAATTCCAGGCTAGTGAGAGCTGTCTCAAAAAAAGAATGCTGGATGACTGCTGCCTGAGGAATGAGATGCAAGTGTCCATCTGGTCTACACGCACAGAGAGAGACACACACACACATGCATATACACACATACACCCACGTGAAACTACATACACTCATGTACCTACACACACATGAACACATACAAATAAAATAATAAAAATCAGTAAGAGGCTTGAGCAACCACAAAATCCATAATGCTGCACTCTCTATAGAAAGAGCCTATTAAAAATCTGCCAAGAAACACACATACACACATACACAATTAGAGGCCCTGATGTCCTATGATAAAGACCTAGGCCCAGAAACATACAAGCACACATGTACTTATGCACACTGTTCAACTACCAATGATACAGGTATTGGCGAACTGTGACCCATGTTGACCCTAGCTACAGCTTGATTTAGACAGCTCACTACCTAATTTCACTTTAAATGACTGGGGAAAAAACAGAAAAGGATCTTGTTGCTGCTGAGTAGGGCCAGTTCTCAGACCACCAGGGTGCTGTGGCTTGGCCAACAGGCCCGGCCAGTGGCATTGAGCTCCAGGTGCTGCTCACACTGCTTGTCCTACTGGGAGGAAGGAAGCATGGAGTCTTAGGACTGCCCACTGGCTGCAAATATAATGGCTGTGCCCAGGGTACCAGGGCTGCTGGAGGCCAGGGCAGGGTGCTTCACAGAAGCCTGGAACTCTCACAGGTCCTGCCCTCAGAGTCAGAGCAACAACAAGACATCTGAGATGAAGAACAGTTCATTTTCTGGATTAAATGTTCTCAAAAGACTTCTCCCATTAGAGGCTGTGTTAATGATTGGTCCTTGTTGCTGCTAGAGGCCAGGTTGATGTCCATCGTTCATGCTGCCAACAGAGACCATGTTAATGTCCATAGTACCTGTTACCACTGGAAACCATGTGGAAGTCCATGATCCAGGCAGCTACCAACTGCTATGGGCAAGGAAGCTTCTTTTGCAATGGTATCGATGATTGCAGACTCGTAACTGAAAATGAGAGACATTGAAGGCGTCTGTGACCCCCCCCCCAAAAAAAACAGTCCAGGCAGGAATCTATTGAAGAGGTTCCTTAAAATTAGGCTAAAGATGCTAAGTGTAGCTCTTTACGGTTGGTGGCTTCTGGCAGGGAGGTATGGAAGGTCTCCGTTTTCTTTAAGCCACTGGGAGTTTGACCATACTCCAGTGAGTCTATGAGCAACATAAACTGGATTTGGGGTTTTTTTTCTGGGGGAGGGGGAAAAGGTGGGAAGGTGGACCTGGGAGAAATGGAAAGCAAGTGTGATTGGAGTATGATGTATGAAATTCCAAAATAATTAATAAAAATATTATGTTGGGAAAAAATTAAAAGCTGAATGACATTTTAAGGTACCTAAAATTTAGGTTTCCATATCTGCACACAAAGCTTTAGTGCCACAGTCATACCTACTTGGTGGCATTACTGTCTCTACAGCCTCATGCCACAGTGTCTGGGGAGAGCCAGTTGCTAGACTGCATGACCCAGCGCCACCCCTGCAAGAGGAGGAGACAGGGTCTATAGCCAGTGTACTGTTCCTGTAGGAGCCATTCTACATCGCTGGGGTTCCAGAACAGGCAGGATTTCATTTGCCTCAGGACTGAAAAGCTTTGCTTTGCAAACCCATAAAAGATCTGGGGATTTTAGTTTGTTTATTTGTTTTATTTCATTTGTTTGTTGTTTGGTTTTTCGAAACATGGTTTCTCTGTAGCTTTGGGGTCTGCTCTGGAACTAGCTCTTGTAGACCAGGCTGGCCTCAAACTCACAGAGATTCACCTGTCTCTGACTCCCGAGTGCTAGGATTAAAGGTGTGTGCCGCCACCGCCCTGCTAAGACCTGGTGTTTTATGGTGGCAGCTGCACAACCAGAACTCAGGAGAGATTTAAAGGGAATAGAACTTTCGGGTTGTACTCCAGATGGGTCTCTGGGAAAGACAAGGCACTGGTGCAGAATCGCCATGAGGATCCACAGAGAGAGGAGTTGGCAGCAGGGGCTCTGGTGACCGGCATACTCAGGGTGTTTTCCCCCACCTACCTCAAACCAAGCTACAGTGGAGCTCCAAGGTCTGGGATCATCCCTGAGCAATGAGTCTGTGGAGCCAAGAGCATTCCATTCTTTGTGAGCACCCCCAGCTCCCACGAAGGGATGCTGACCCCATTTGCTCACATAAATGCTCATGGGTCTCTTACGCAGGGGGAGCCTAAGCTTAAATTTAAAACAGTTGAGTCCAGACTGTAACTAGTCACATGAACTTGACCATAACAGTTAGCTCCCTGAATCTTGGCTTTCCCATCGTAAACAAAGACCAATGCATGCCTGTCTAATTACAAAGAGATCATTGCTGTCACTATTATTATTAATATGGTCATTATTTCTATTAATTATACGCATTTTCCATTGTGGGTGTGATTTATAATTATACTGCAGCTAATACACACTGTTATTATTTCCATTGTCTCATGAAGTTACTGTGAAACCCTGTGATCTGAACACTTTCGTGTTCTCTTATTTATAGGTTAAAAAGTGCGAGGGGGACCTTTTATTTTTCATGTGTATGGACGTGTTGACTACATGTATGTCTGTGTACCATGTTCATGCAGTGCTCACAAAAACCAAAAGAGGGTGTTAGTCTTCCTGAAGTTATAAACATGTCACCCTGAAGATGCTGAGAACCAAGCCTGTGCCCTCTGGAAGAGCAACCATTGAGTCATCTCTCCAAGTGGGCCTATTTTTAGTTTAATTGGAATAAAAATGTCACTGGGGTGAAATATGTTGATTTTCAAGACAGGCCTGTGTGGATAGAGCCCCTCTGTAGCCGCTGTCCACTTTGGCTTCCTTTAAACATTCTGTGTGAAGTTGCTATGGCAACAACTCACATCACTCTTGGAGAACCATCTTCAGAGACATCCCATCCTACCACTGCAGATGAGACCTTTGTGCCCAGAAGACCTGGGGCCTGATGCCCAGTAAAGTGGTTAATTGACTTGATGGATCACAGACCATTTACTGCTGAACTGTCACTCATCCTCCAGGACCCGGTCATCCCCTTGCCACACAATGTGATCCCACTCAGAGCTTCAGGGCTGAGAACAAACCTGGGGCTCTGCAGCGAGTGACAACCCAGCCATAACACGTCCAACAGCGACTTCACCTGGAGCAACAGCACCTCCTGAGGGACACAGTGTAAAGTCTGACAGGGCAGCATCTGAACTGCCACCCCTGCTTCTGTCTGCAGCCTCTGCCATCCTCCTCTCTTCCTAGGACAAGGACAGAAGCTTGTTGTTGCCAGGTTTCATTCCCAGGGCTGCTGATGCTAGAACGTATCCTCTGAATCCCTGCCTGTATGGTTCTGAAAGTCACCCACCCTCTCCAGGACACACTGAAGCTCTTTAACTCACCAGACTACTATCTCCATGACAGATTCCAAGAGTCTGTGTTCTCACTCAGAGCCAAAGGCTCGGTGTCTGTCCTGAGCCATGGTAGGTCCTACAGGGATGGTCAGTGCAGACGGTTATCTGCCTGCTAGTGAGACAGAGCCCCTCAAGTCTCACAGAGGAGAGAGGGACAAGGGCTCTGCATCACCTCTACCTGTTAGAGAGCCATACACTTTCACAAAGAACCCCCTCTTTCACACATATGCACACTCACAGACACATTTGCACATAGATATACTCACACATGCTAAAATAAACTCTTTAGAAGATTATAATTTCTCATTTCTAATCTCTTAGCTAACAGTTATGTAATCCCCCAAAAATTTACTTCTACATTTAATATTTCTGTTTATACTCATGACCCTACACAACCTGAATTTGTTTTGGAGAGGGTTGAGCATCCCAGCATAAGTTCCAAGTCAAAACATCATCAGGACTTTATGTTTCCAAAGAGTGTCTCCTCACCACAAGAGAAAATACTGGTATATATAATTTTTAATATCATTGTGCATGGCTGCAACCAAGCAAAAAATATTGACTGGGAATACCTGTACCTCAAAGTACTCATTTGATTAAAATATTGCTTGATTCGGGGGGGGTGGCATTCTGGGATATTATGCGCAGAGGAAAAGCTATGGTCAGCACTCACACGCAAAGGCACCTCGGCGTCTTCCTGTTCACCGTGGGATGTGAACAAGGGAAATGCAGGACGGCAATTATGTCAGCACACCCTGAAAGCATTGCTACTAAATAACCTATATATTATCTGAGAAAACGTAGAACAGCTCTAGCCATTGGATTATTGAAAATGAATCTCTTAGGAAATACACCATTGCATGCTTGTCTTAGAAATACAAAATTATGCTCAAATACCAAAATATGTAAATGTTTAATGTTCATCTATTGACACAAAAGCTCTCCGGAAGCCGAATCCTACTCCTGCCCTCTACCCCGGAACACGGGGTCACTAACCTTGTTTGAAAATTTACTTCTTCCTTTGTTGTTTGAGTGTGAAATGTCTTCTGTGAGACTGATGTCCCCTTGATCCCCTGATGGTGGTGGTTTTGGAACCTCTGGGAAGGGCTTGGCTGGCAGGGGTGGGGCCAGAGGGTGAGATGCCAGCTCTGCTACCAGCCTGAGCATGTTCTGCCATCGTAGACCCTCTAATCCATTGGCTTCCCTCTGTGGAAGCAAAGAGCACAGCCCAGACCATTAGTGAGAAGCTTTGTAACTAATGTGGCCAGCACCATTTATAATGCAAACGTGCTCACACGATAAGACATGTGCTCACATGACACATGAGGCCCTTCCGAGTTACAACCTTTAACCAGTCTAGTGGTCATGAAACATGGGAGTGAGCACAGGCAAGCAAAGAGGAGAAAGCAAGATCGGCTGGAACACTCTGTGTGAGGCTGCACGAAACACCCATCCATCCACAGAGGTTGCTGTGCCATGGTCAGAGCAGAAGCCCCAGGAACACTGCGCTGAGTGTTGGCTTGGTTACAAACAGGGCTCTCCAGAGGCCTCGGGCTGCCTGGAGCACAGGGATGAAATCATACTACCGGATCCCCCAAAACAAGGGTCAGACAAGTGTTCATCTTTTCTGGGTAGAGGAAATGTGGAACCGGAAGCACAGTCCCGCCCTGCTGCTGAAAGCCTTGGCGGCTCCTGATGGAGAATGTGAGCAGGCAAAGAGAAACTCTTCGGAGCTGGCAGCCCTGGGCCCTTGGTGCTGAGCTCGGAGAGCTGGAGGCTGCTGCTCCAGGCTTTATAGGGCAGTGTTTCAGACTCTGGGAACTCAGAGCCCATGCACATTGCTCTGACCTTAACCACCAGAGTCCTAGGAACATAGACTAACAGAACCACTCCGAGGTGCGGTTGTGGGGGTGGTTTTTATTGTAGATAAGAAAGTACAGCCAGAGGCATCTGGAAGAATCCAGAGCAGAGAAGGTAGTATACTGAACATGGCCAGCAGACTGGACTTGGCCATGAGAAGAGGCTGGGGGGCAAGAAGGGAAAACAAGAGAGTGCAGGCAAAGGAGACCATGAAAGCCAAAAGAGCGGGGTTACAAGGGAATGAGAGGCTCAAGGGAGGTAAGCCCGTGAGCTGGAGAAGTTTAGGGCTGGGGGTGAGAAGCGCCAGGATGCCAGCTTGGACTCCGTCGCAGGTACTTGTGACACAAGAGAGCCTGGAGTCCAGCAGACACTTTGGTGATGTGGACAAGAAAAGCTATGGGTACCATCAACATTAATCAAGATTCAGTTGAAAAGGAGAAACCTCTTGATAAAGAGAAAGGGCAGCTCATCCACAGAAGGACATCCCACATCACTTTGGTGATAGACACCAGAGATAGCCATTTGCCTCAAGTTCCTTTTGGACTTAACACCAGTCATGTGGTAGCTATTGTAATCCCAGGCTTTCAGCATTAGTGCAGCAACAATGAAGAGCAGTGGGCATCAGTAAACTCATTTCTAGGATGTTTAAATCTGTGCTCTGCCTGGAGGAGGAGGGGCCTCCTCACACAGCTGGAATTACCAAAGAGTAAGTAAGTGGTCGTGGGCAGTCTGCCTGACTGTGGGAAACTGACACATACCAAAAACGAAGTGACTTCAGCAGGTGGCAAAGGCTGAGTATTCCTAAAATAAAGGACCTCCGACAGGCCTTAAGGGAGATCTGGGCATGGGAGGGTAACAAGCTAGATAGGGCGCTGCATGTGCAGCAAGAAAAATGCAAAGAAAGCAGCATCAGTTGCACACACAACCCCCTGTTAAAGGAGGAGCGGTGCTCTCAGCAGCAGAGGCGCCCACCAGGGCATCCACACCAGGCTGCTGCCAACCAAAGGCACAGGCAGAGAAACCGCAGAACAAAACACAGAGGTGAGCAGCTGCAGCCGAAGGCCGGTCAGGCTGTTTTAAACCAGGAGATGTGGGGATGCAAGATGTGTGACCCTCTAGGGACTCACAGACTCTCAACAGTACAGAAGCTCCGGCAAGACAAAGTAATCATGAAAAGCAGAGAAAGTTGTACTCCGTATGGCCACATTAGAAAAGGGAGACACGGGGACTCCTCCCCAACACCCACTTCCCATGCCCATCTTCCGGGTCCTGACAAGAGGTCTGAGTTTAAACAGAGGGCAAGAGGCTGTGTAGACAGTAGTCCTCACCAAAGAGTGGCCCGGCATCCCTGGCCCTTCATTGTCTTGGCTCCTGTCTCTCCTGCAAGCTAGTTGGACCAGATGAAATCCCTGCTGAAGGCGAATTTCTCCTCTGGCTGACTCCAAGCTTCAGGCCTTTTCTTCTCCCAGCAGGAGACTTCTGGGGAAATTCCTTGGAGATTATTGTCTCAATAGTGAGAGCCAACTGGAAGGGCACCTGTGTCTCTCCTTAGACTATCTCACGAGAGCGCAGGTGGAAGAAAGTATGAAGGCATTCAGCTTTGCATGTGTGTGTGTGTGTGTGTGTGAGAGAGAGAGAGAGACAGAGAGAGAGAGAGAGAGAGAGAGAGAGAGAGAGAGAGAGAGAGAATCAAAGAAGGCTTCCATTCCCCCCAGAGCCCCAGGTGGTAATGAGTTGTCAAATGTGGATGCTGGGAATGGAACTTGGGTCCTTTGGATGAGCAGAAAGTACTTGCCATTACAAAATCACCTCTCGAGCTCCCACCCCTTACATTTTAGAGTCACCCACTATAGTGATATTTTATTTGTGTTTTAATCAATAAAGCTTGCCTGAAGAGAAGAGTATAAAGCTAGCCACAGTAGTCAGCCATATATTCTTGGCAGTGGTGGCACACACCTTTAATCCCAGCAGCCATACTAGTTAGCCATAGAGGCTGGGTGGTACATGCCTTTAATACCAGCACTAGAGATGAGTATAAGGCAGGATGAGACAGGAACTTCTCTTTTTAGTCTGAAGATTTCAGTAAGTAAGAGCTCTTTAATGGTTTGGCTGCTTTTCTGACTTTCAACTTGAACCCCAATATCTATCTCTGGGTTTTTATCATTACTGCTACACCCCACTATGTATAATGGGTCTCCTGAACCCTCAGCCTAAGTGAGGCTTTTGCTGGTGAGGAGGACCCTGGAGTCAATCACATCAAATTTCTGACCTGGCCCTGACAGGTATGCATCTGTCTTCTAGGGAGCAGATGTCACAGACAGCGTGTCTGCTGTCTCCCCCTGTGAAAAAGACAGCTCCCTCTGCTCCAAAGAGCCTTGGGCCAGCTGCTTCTCTGTCTTTGGTGCTGGCGTTCTCTCCGACCCTAGACCTCCATTTTCCTCTGCTGTGGCCTGGGTGTGGCTCTGTCTTTAAAAGGCTCTTTCTACACCAGAGCCCTTCATGTGTCAGAAATCAGGAGACCACGGGGGAGACCCAGGTCCACTAGAACATGGTGTCCTGCAGCATCAACAACACTGGGGCATCCAGAAGCAGGCTTTTGCTTCAGTACTTTTCCAGGATAGTTACAACGCCATGCAGAGCCCTAGCGGATGGGAACCCACATCCCCACCTGTCTTGAGAATCCCTTCTTTGGGGATGCACCAAAAAATGAATCCACCAAAGTGGCTTCTGGGGCACAAACACATTTGTTGGTTTTACTTACAGAGTGTGGGTGAGGGGTCACCAGGAACAACGTGGGTGATTTCAAATCAGCCACAATGGAAAGTTTTCACCCAGCCTGAATGATATCCTCCTCATAACCATTTCTCTAGAAGTCCCCTCTCTCTGTTAACCTCCCCCAGTTTATATACTCGAGCATCCCTCAGACCCTAGGACCGTGAGGCCATCTGAAATTAGGGCAGAACTGCACACAAATGGATTGGAAGAGGGGCTGGAATTTCAGGTGAGGTCCAGGCCTCATCGCATCCCTTCAAATAGTAACAGTCCACCAGCCCAATCAGGCTGGCTTCCCGCAGCAGGCACAGATAATCTGATAATAATAGGGGCTGTTTGGCCCAGAAGACCCTTCTCCTATAACCCTCTCCCCGGCTCAATCTTGCTCCGCTCACTGCTAACAGATTGATCAGCCCTTAAGTATCTATCAATGATACTAAACCTTTAGCTTTTTCATTATGGAAGACACTGGAGGACAGGCCAGTCTAAAACACAGAAGGTTGGAGAGAAGTGTGCAGAGGTCCTGGTCCCCACGTGAAACCTGCCTCCAGGCCAACACCACACCAGAGCTTGCTGCCCTGACCCTTCTCCCCGCATCCCATGAAAGGGCTTCAGGGATGACCTAAAGTGATTTCTACAAAATGAAAATGGCTAATGGAGCCTGCATCCTCTATCCTGCCCTGGTGGCAAGCTCGCTTCTCATGAAATTCGGATCTCAAATGAAGCGATAATGTCACAGTGTTGGAGTGCCCACCTCGAGTTGCTGGTAAACTGCTGTCATCCTGAAGGCAGGGGAGGCCGACGCAAACCCCTCCAGGCTCAAACCCTCTTCTGCCGTCTTCTGAGGCAACTTTTGCTGCACTCCGCCGGACACGAAACTGTCCGTCACTCAGACGAACACGGTAAGGTTTTCATGAAACCCGCAAAGACTGCAAATGCCAGGATGGCTCTGTAAAGACATACATCAATGGGCCATTGCATAGGAACTCCCACCACGGGCCAGAGATGATTAAATAATTTTTGTAAAACAGCATTTGAAATTTTGCTCTTGTCCATATTTTTCATAATAGTCTGAAGAAAATGGATTACAGCTCTGCCAGGAAGGGATAGCTTGGCATTTGAAGAAACCCAGTGCACACATTAGCACAGGGAGTCCATTAGGTCCCGAGAATCAGGGACTGAGTCAGAGGCTCCAGCTAAGGGCTTCATTTCTGGGATTTAACAAATATTATTTTTTTAAAGATCATCCAAGTTACTACCCTCTAGAAGGCAATTATCTCCTTAATGTTCATAAAGTGTGAGAAACAAATGAAAAATACATCTTAACATTTGCATATGTACCCGCAGCTAAAATGTTAGGAGTCAAATTGCACCACGGTTTAAGGGCAGGGAGAAGGCGGCTCTGGGCTTAGCTGTTTGTGTTAAACACTATTCATCAAGGAAGTCTGTGCAATGGTTAAATAACCTTGGGTAGCATCATTGATTTATTCCACAACATGAGTTTTACCAGCCAGTGCATCTGACCTTCATCTGAGGAGGTCACCTAGTGCTCATCCAGGTGTCTATAAAGACCAATAAAGGCTCAGAAGCCAGCCGCTGGGGTGAAAACCTGCTAGCTCAGAGAGGCCGAGAAAGCACCTGGTTGACCTTCCTCTTCCACTGATGTCCCAGAAAGAGAGCTTTCTACTGTGTCATTTCAATCAAAACTGTTAGGAGCTGCAAACCCTCAGTCCCTGAACTTTCTAAGACCCCTTGCCTGGTGAAGTAAAAAACTTGTTTTCCTATGCTTGCAGCTGCTCTGAGCACGGAACCCTCACGAGTTCCTGATAACAAGGAAGTGGTTTCAGATGGATTTTCAGTAGAAAATCCTGAGAGCTGGGGCGTGGCCACTAATCAAGGAGAGCACTATATAAGCTGCCCTGAAACACAATAAAATTGGCATTCTTGTAGAGCAAGAGGAGTTGAGAACAGCAAGGGAACACAGTCCACAGATCAACTAAGCAGGGCTCAAAGGGGCTCACAGAGACAGGAGCGACCATGATGGAGCCTGCCTGGGTCTGTGCTAGGTCCTCTGCCTATGTTATGGTTACTGCAGCTTGATGTTCTGTGGGATTCCCAACAGTGGGAGCGGGGGTGCCTGTGACTCTTCTGCCTGCTCTTGGGACCCTTTTTCTCCTACTGGGTTGCCTTACGCAGCCCTGATATAAGGACTTATGCCTAGTCTTATTGCGACCTGCTACAGTGTCAGGCTGATATCCCTGGGAGGCCTGTTCCTTTCTGAAGGGAAAACGGAGAAGTGGATCTGGGGTACAGGGTGGGGGACTGGGAGGAGAGGAAGGAGGGGAAACGGTGGTCAGGGTGTATTATATGAGAGAAGAAGAAATCTGGGGAAAGGAAGACTGTTCTTGCACAAACCCAACCACACTGCTGCATTACCATTGAGACAAGGTCAGTTACACAGTGTGCGGCTTTTGCTACTTCTCACTTATTTTTGGCAACTTTTTGGACAGACAAGCAGAGTGTATTTTCTTAAACCAGACTGAATCTTTCTCGTGCCATGGGAACAGTTTACTATGTGAACCCTCACCCCCAGACACAGGAATGTCAGAGTCAAACATCTGGTGTCCTTCTCTTCCTCCAGATCCTTAAGGGTGATACAGGTAGAAGCTAAAAAAATCTCCAAGTCCTTGGCATGGGATGTAGGTCAGTGGTAGAACACTTGCCTAGAACCTCTGAGACCTAGACTGCTTCTGGAATCATGTGTGTGCACACTCACACACACTCCTGGCTACCATTTGATTTGAATAATCTAGTTGTGGGCTTATAATTAGTGCCGATGTGTTTTATAAAATGCACCCAAACATGTACCCTGAGGACTAATGGCGTTTTCTGAATGTCATATAACCTCACTCTTTTTCCCTTGGCGTTTAGAGAAATAGGATGAAATGCGTGTCCCAAGAAGATGCTTGCAAATGTGTGGAGAGGGAGAAATCAATCTCATTCTCCAGTCGGTTCTTTGTTCGATTGGTTCGTTGATGGGCTTTATTTGCTAATCTGTGCTTCCAAGACCATAAGACACACGGGGGACAATGAAGGAAAACAATGAAGTCCCATCCAATGCTGGCTGATCATTAGATTTTCCTGAGTGCCCTCTGCCCTGGACCCTGACTTTAAACTTGAACTGTCCTCCAAACTGATACTGCAACCTACTTACATCCTTCCACCGGACATAAGTAGCCTGAATTGACACACTTGTCCTCCAGAGGGCGCATGAGCCCATGGATTGTAACAAGGTGCGCTTAGGTAATGTTCCCACTGCCAGCCCAGAGTTCTGAAGCTAGGTATGTTCGAATAACTGCCAGGAGAACAAACAAGCCCCACCATGACCTCAGAGTCGGTCGGCCTGGGCTGTAGAAAGAGCCCAGCCACGTGATAAGGAAGGAGTTGACCTACACTGCCACGCAGAGAGACACAGACCTTCTTTTGCAGTCACACAGCCACACAGTTCAGGTACCCTGACATGCTTCACAAAGGTAAAGCTGTCCGGATGCAGAGAGAGGGCACGGAACTCACGCCAGGGGCCAATGGGCCCTTGTAGAGGCAGGTTGCTGTGAGTTCCCAATGGGTTTAGGAGATTTACTTGGGAGATTTACTTTCCCAGTTTCTTCTAAAGGTAGACAAAAGCTCCTTTAGGGCCCTCAAACTAAGCTGGGTCACTGGGGGTAACCCTTCTGTGCCGTTCTTCATGCTGAATCAAATATAGGGATGGTCATACACCTATACAGGATGCCTCCCACCACTCATGAGATGCCCAGAAACCATACTGAGGGTTGCCATGAGTTCAGAGCTGCCTCACCTGTGTGGGATTTGGGGAGATCCTGTCTCCAGCCCCAGACTCTCCCAGGGCCGCCTAGCTGGCCTAAATAAGCTCTGTCCTGGACCAGCTGGCTGATCCTAAGTGCCTTGCTGACCCCAAAGCCCAGGCTTCTCCTTCAACTGACAGCTTCCTGGAGTGAGTTAATCCCACAAAGGGCCAGCAGGGGCTGGTCAAACATCAGCTGTGACAAGACTGCTTTGTTGTGGTCCCCAGGTCTTAGCGGCAGGCTCATCCCTTTGACCTACCTGTTTCTAACAAGCTCCCTATGTGCACATGTCTCCTTTCCTCCATCTGGCCAATTCCCACACTGCTTACCACCCCTCAGCAGGCTCCTGGGAATCTGGGGCTCTGCCCTGTGGTACACACACTGTTCTCTGGGCATGTGGCCCCTTTTCCCTGTTTGCCTAAACCAGAGCACTTCATGTTCCTCAAGAGAAACACCTTGCTTTCATGCTTAGTGAAAGTTGCTTTGTTGTTTTCTTTACTAAGTAAATGAGCAGCTGGAAGAGTGAAATGCTTGATAATCAAGACTGGCATTTAACATGGTGTTTTCTTCTCTGTATAGCTATGCAGAGCACACACACACACACACACACACACACACACAGTGGGAGTGAGAAACAGTGGCTATGCCTGAGCATTCTGTCACCCTCACTGTTTGCTTTAATTCTCTCATCACCTCTTCCAGCTACCCCAATGCACAGCAGCACCCCCAAGCTTAATGGACTAAGGTAACAACCACTGAATTGTGGGTCAGGAGTCGGGAGTACATGAGCAGATGTCTTCTTTCTGCTCTGTGCTGCCGAAGCTCAGCTTGGAGGAATCAGAAGAGGGTGACCTCAAGGCAGACTTCCTGAGAGGGTTGTTCCTCTCATAGCCGGCAGGGTGTCACACAGCTGACAGGCAGAGGTGTGCACATTACTGCCCCATATTCTGTCTGGGCTGTCCCCAAGGCCTGGTGGTCAGGTCCCAAGCAGGACAACTCAACTGAGACTGGGCAACCTTGGTAGCATTACCGTGACCCAGCCTTTTACACCGAGGACACTCACGGTAGAATGTTTGTCTCAAAGGCAGAGAATGGTCTGTTGGGGGAAGAAATCACAAAGCTTCTCCAAGGTTGAAGGGGTGGAGACAGACCCTGCACACCCACAGCATGAGTGCCAAAGTCACAGAGGAGGAAGACACACCGAGATTAGAGGTGTTGGTGTTGGGGAAACAAATTACCATACCACCTCGCGGTTAAAGTGACCACTGTGAGTACAAAGAGGCCTAGAGGATTACAGAGGCATCCTGAAAACCACCAGACACAGTCAGGCCTCCCACTGGAAAATCCAGGAAAATAAATGGACTAATGCTTACCAACCACAGTGCAGCAACCGGGGAAAGCACAGACACAGACTAGTCCATGGGTTTCTGTAGGTCATGGAGAGCTCAAGCCCATGGGAAATGAGACGCTTTTTATTTTATCAACAAAATTGTGAAGCTATAATTAAACGAAAATATGTGGTTCATACTTCGTAAAAGTTTATGAAATAATAACAAATTGATAGTAAGAACTGTTTGCTCTCAGCCAGATGCCCCTGCCCTAATTTACAAGAAGTAAAACAACAGGGTCAGGTAAGCCTGTGGCTTGGGGCTACACCCCAAGCTTTTCCTTGTTCACATCAGGATTTCTTAGACTGAGCTTTCTGAAGTCACTCACCTAATGCTCTTGTAGTCTGTGAGCATGGTGGATCACACTTAGTAGCTCTGTAGAACACGAGATGAGAAAATAGCCCAGGCCCAAGTCCAGTCTCGGCTTCATGAAGACTTCCAGCTGCAAATCACAGCAGAGGTGAAACTGAAATCTAGTCCTTTCATAATTGAAACAGAATTATGAATGCAATTCTGGAAAGAAAGCAGAAAATTCAAAAGGTGAGCATCCTGAGAAATATTTAGATCAGGTTTTTGTGTATATGTGTGGTGTGCACATTTCTGTGTACATGTGTGGTGTGTGCATTTCCATGTACATGTGTGGTGTGTGAATTTCCGTGTGCATGTTGACAGGTGAATATGTAGGCCAGAAGAGGACATCAGGTGTCTTCCTCTATTGCTTTCCACTTATTCCCTTGAGACTGACTCTCTCACTGAACCAGAAACGCGATGTTTTTTTATTTTTGTTGTTTTAGTTTGTTTGTTTTTATTGAGCTACATATTTTTCTTCACTCTCCTCTCTTCCTCCCCCACTTCCTTCTACCCTCTCCCATGATCTCCACACTCCCAGTTTACTCAGGAGATCTTGCTTTTTTCTACTTCCCATGTAGATTAGATCCATGTATGTCTCTCTTAGGGTCCTCTTTGTTGTCCAGGTTCTCTGGGATTGTGAACTGTAGGCTGGTTTTTCTTTACTTCTTGTCTAAAAGCCACTAATGAGTGAGTATATATTATAGTTGTCTTTCTGGGTCTGGGTTACCTCACTCAATATGATGTTTTCTAGATCCATCCATTTGCCTGCAAATTTCAAGATTTCATTTTTTTCCGCTGTGTAGTACTCCATTGTGTAAATGCACCACATTTTCTTTATGCATTCTTCAGTTGAGGGGCATTCAGGTTGTTTCCAGGTTCTGGCTATGACAAATAATGCTGTTATGAACATGGTTGAGCACATGTCCTTGTGGTATGTTGAGCATCCTTTGGGTATATACCCAAAAGTGGTATTGCTGAGGCTTGAGGTACTCCATGTTTTAACTAATCTGGCTTTTCGGAGAACTCTGAAGACCCTCCTGTCTCCTCCTCCATGTCTGTTGGGATTATAGGCACCTGTGGTCACACCTAACTCTTAGATGAGTAGGGAGGTCAGCAAACATTCTAACCCAGAAAACTCTCCCCAGCCCTAATTTTCATCTTACTTTACTTTGGTGTGTTTGGAGTCTGACTCAGCAAGCAGATGCTAAGGGCAGGTCGCATGCAGAAGCCTTTGCTGCCCGGTGAGGTACAAGATGCTGACAGGGCTGTGCACTCGGTAGAAGCCTCCCTCTGGAAGCCTGAAGTTTAGTGAGAGAAGGAGGCAACTGCACCATGGTTTCTTAAAAATGCCAAAGCCAACAAGAGGCATCGTCACCACTTGTCAAAAGGTGACTTTCCATCTAGCCCAAAGGGTCGAATCTCAGTCATCTTACCAAGGACTACAGTCTTTGGGTAAGAGTTGACTCCATGGTGAGACTTGCTTTATATCCCCTGGTCCTTGGGTCTTTTCACCTTTCCCTAGCCATCAAGGTGGGAAGTTGTTAAACATGACCCTCAAATAGTGACCAACAGCCCTATTAGAGAGCCTACTCCACACTCATGTCTTTCTTGAAAAATCTTCATGGAGTTTGAGGGTCTGGCTGCCTATCTGCAGCAGACTTTCTTTTGGACCACCAACCAACTCCCAAATCATGATACAGAGCTTTATTAATATTTAGGAATGTCTGGCCTTATTTTATGGCTTGTCCCACTAGCTCTGAGAACTTGATTTAACCTGTTTCTATTCATCTACATTTTGTCTCGGGGCTTTTTCCTTTTCTTTCATTCTCTATGTCTTACTCCGGGTCTGGCTGGCTGGTGGCTGCCTGGCTGGCTGGCCCCAGGTGCCTCCCTCTTTTTTTTATATACCTTATTCTCTCTTCTCTCTCAGGCCTAGATTCCTCCTCTTAGTCTCTCTGCCCACCAACCCCACCTATCCCTCTACCAGCTATTGGCCATTCAGCTTTTAATTAGACCAGTCAGGTGCCTTAGGCAGGTAAAACACCACATCTTTAAACATAGTTAAACAAATGTAACATAAACAAATGTAAGACATCATTACATAGTTAAACAAATACAGTATAAACAAATGTAACATGTCATTACATAGCTAAATAAATACCATATAAACAAATGTAACACATCTTTGCCAAAAGTAATATTCCACAACACCTATCTACACAAGCATTGTATCCCCACAAACAATGCAGGCAACATTTCACAAATCCTTTTAGAAGGGTCTGGCCATGCCCACCACCAGGAGGGAAGCCTGCTGTCCCTGGGAATCAACAGAAGCCTTAGAGGGCATGAGGCTGTTGTTCCCACCATGCATAGTAGCTCCCAGATTCACTGACATCTGCAGGGCAGGAACTCTAGGACACATCTGGCTGCTGGCATTTAGCTTTGATGCCTGGGATGGGACCCAAAGTTCCAACATTCTCTGATGGTCTGTGCACCAAGGGTGGCCTGGCCAGTCGTGAGCACTGGACATCCCTATCCCTGGTGGCCCTTTTGCTTCAAAAAGGCTTAAGGTCACTCCATCTTAGGTTGGGCCAGGACCTTTCTCCTGCTTTTCTATCCTTACCTCCAAATCCCAGGACCTACATCCTCCTCACCATCAGTTCCTAGGTGAGGACCAGTTGGGTGTCTCTAGACTGCTGGGAAAGTATTTGCCTTCAGAAGACTGGCGTTTGGACATAGTCGCTAGATCCTCCACCTTCCAGGAGGATGTGAAACTCCCTAGGAGCCAGCTGAGACTTCCTGTCTTCTGTTCTTTGCATGTATGGGTGTGTCCCTAGGTTGTCTGATTGATTCTCTAGTAGGGCTTTTCTAGAACTAGATAAGAACTAGAGACTTGGTGTGGTCCCTATCCACTAGTTCCTCCCACCTACCCATAGTCAGGCTGATGGAGTCAAAAGATCCACGTGACAGCATGGGACCTGTGTTCAAGTAAGCACAAAAGGTTCCAGAGTAGAAGAAAGGGGATGCTTCCTTGTTGGAGTCTTCCTGACAACAGGCGTCCTGGTCCTGGACCCTCCAGCCACCACCTGTGGTCTCAGCTCCAGCTTCAGGCCCAGAATTCAGACATCCACCCCGGGTGCTACTGACCTCTTCATCAGGAACAGGTACCAGGGATCCAGGTAACCCATGGTGCATGGTGGGCGATGCCATTTAGACCTCAGTTGGGAGCTGCGAGCTCCCACTTTCCAGGTTTCCAAAGCAGGGAAGTTCAGAAAACAGCGGTGCGGAGAGGAGCGTAGGGCGGTGACGAGCAAAGCCCCGCCCCGCCACTCGGAGGGTTGCCCTGCCCCTGGGTCCCCGCGTGTCCCCCGCCCTTCCAGTGGCGCGCGTTTACCTGCCAGCAGACGGAGTGAGGCGGGGCGGGAGCGGGGTGCGTGCCTGTCCCCAGAGCAGCCGCTGTCAGTCACCGCCGCTGAGCGCCAGCGAGGACGAGCCTCTGGCCCAGGCGGCCCGCGTCTCGCGACCCCGAAACGCAGGACCGCGGCCCAGCGACCCCGAACGCATCGGCGGGTTCCTCCTGCCGGGCTCCCTGGCGCCCCTCGGCCTCCGAGCCGCAGCCAACACTGGTGAGTGATGTTTATCAGGGACGAGCCGGGCGGCCCTGGAGCCTTTGTCTCGGCGCCCCTCAGAGCGGGAGACCCCAGCACCAAGCCTGACTCCCAGAGAGGCGACGGAGAGGGCGCTCGGTACCGGCACCAGAGCTCTGGTCCCTCTCCCAGGCCAGGAGCGCCCGGGTCACACCTGACCAGAGAAGCAGGTGGCCCCGCAGGTGGCAGCTAGGCGACTTCTCAGACCGATACCAAGGCGGCAGCCCTTATCTTTCTTGGGAAGTGGTAGACGCGGGTGTAGACTCAGGTCCACAGCGTTGGAGACTGGAGGCCTGAGGGTTATCCCCGGGTAGTCTGCAGCCAAGCCTGGAGACCCCGGGGTCGCCGAAACTCGCGCGGCCTAGAAATGGTGGGGGGAGGAGTTTAGGGGTGGGAGGCGACCTCGGTCGAGAGAGACCGCCCCCAGCCTGAGAGAGGGGTCTTGAGCGGCTCCGAGGGCACTGCAGGGGTCCGTCTAAGCCTGCAGCGCCTGCTAATCACACACCTGCTGCCCCTCGTAAGATCCCTGCCTTGCCCCTCCCCACAAGCAGAAGCAGTTTCTCTTTGAGCAGAGGGCGGCGACAGGCACTTGCCCAAGCTTCCGCCTTCTCAGGGCCTCTTTCTGGCTCCTAGGCCCTTTCGGTGCCGCACACAGGCCCCCACCCACCCTGCCCACCTGCGGCCACCTGCTGGCCTCTGTCCAGCTGGCGCGGTCTTCCCGCCATAACTTGAACTCTTGGTCCTGCTGAAGCGCTGGGTCCCAGTTGCCCCTTTGTGTGTGTGTGGGGGGGGGGTTAGTCCTCGTGTTCTGCTTCGGTTTGTTATAAACGCTGGTTTTTAGGGCAAGGGCGTAAGCCGCTTGGGATTTCGAGGTGCTTCTTTAGTCCCCTGATTTGGGAGGTGGAGCAAGGCTTGAAAAAGGTCTTGCGGTTCCCTGAGGAATCAGTTCGGACTCTTTGCTCCCTGCCAACAGGATAGCTGCTGATCCACCCAGCACACACAAAGGTGGATCTGTGCAGTTGGGGGGAGTCTTGGAGCTGGGGGTGAGAGTCTGTAGGGCTAGGAGACATCAAACATCAGGCAGGCATCGCCTCTGCCTGCACTGGACACAGGACGCACAACTAGAATGACTTTTTTAAAGGAAGGAAACCTTAGGGAGGTCTTGTTAAGACTCTTGGCTTTGGAGGGTATGTCTAGGTAAGCTTAGAAGACCACCCCCTCACTACCCATGACTCTCCCAAATACGGCTTACTCCGCCAGCTCCTCTGGGATTGGTGTGGGCAACTGCTCTAGAGGATAGCATCCTGAGAAGAGACGATCCCAGGCCAGAGTGAGGGATAACCACCGCTCAGGTGCACAGCAGCCCAGCTTGTGTAAACATCCTCAGATTCTCGGTGGGATATACAGACACCTGAAAGAGAAAATACATTTTAAAATAATCACGAATATGAAAGGCAACGCCTAAGGATGTAATTATTCTGAAATGCCTGCTTTTTATCAACTTGAGATAAAAAAAAAAACTAGTGTGTTCAAATCCGCTTTTAATGTCTGTCTAGATATGGAGTGTTGGTTCTTGGTGGAAATGGTGTGTGGTTAAAAAAAAGATGTGCGAACACAGAAAAAGAACATAGCCCATCTTTCAAGGATGTTCAGATTTAGCTTGGATTTTGGAGTGCCAAAGCCTTTTCTGTTTGAGTCTAGGTTTCCTCTTCAGGGTCTTAATTTTTGTTTCTAATTTTTAGATTCTATTTACTTTTCTATCTATGTGTATATGTGCATGAACACAGGTAGGGATCAGAGGATAAGTTGCAAGGGGGTCAACTCTCGCCTTCCACCTTGTAGGTTCCAGGGGCCAAACTCAGGTCATTAGGCCTGGTGACCACGACAAGGGCTTTCACCCACTGAGTCATCTCACCAGCCCCCTCCAGGTTCTCTCAAATGTCAGCGCTGCCTGTGCCTCCCCAATAGCAGGGGGCATTGATTGACCACCCACCAAACACCAGGCTCCCTGCCGGAAACTGATAACCACTGCACTTCAGTCGTCACTGCCCAGGGAGAGCTTCATTTCCCATCATTACCCCTGTTAGTTGCCTCTCAGGGCACAGAGAGGGGAAGCGAGGTGCCTCTGCGAAGTTACCACCTGGCCCCATCTGTTCCCTCGTCACCACTTAAAGGTGCCCCTCCTTTCTTCTTAAATGTCCACCATTAGAGGCTGGAG